AGGTCAGGAGGTCATGAGATATAACAATATTTCCTGTGTGATTCTTATTTTTGTAGTATTTCTTATTTAATTTTAATCATTTATTACATTTTATTTCAGCACATACTGTTATTTATTGTGTTTTTTTCTGTGTTTTTAATCTCTTTAATTGCTGGTGTGTTTTTCCTTTATCTTTTTACCTCATATATTGCTTTTAATTATTATGTGCTGATATTTTGTGTAATATGTAAAGCACCTTGTTTGTTGTGCTATACAAATAAAGTTATTATTATTATCATTATTAAACTCTGTGTACCACAGTTCTCTACATATTTATATTTAACTCATTGTCCTGTATACATCATTGTGTACTTCATGATCTGGTCTCCTGGTCTTCATAAAGCACAAGGAGATGGTAGCATTGGTTTTACACAATATATATATATAAATATATGATTTTTGCTCCATTAGATGGCTGCTCTACAAAGTCAGAACTTAGTAGAGCAGCTATCTCCTATTTTGCGCCCTGGTCATGTAATAACCTTCAGAACACAGTACAGCTTAATGTCTCCCTGGGAGAGTTCAAAGCTCTGATAACAAGCTGTGTAATTGTGCAATCGCTGTTCCTAAGGTTGGTTATTGTCCCTTGTCTGTTTTTAAAGGCACTCCACTATTATTTTTACTGTCTCTTGTCTGTTTTTGGCGTGCTCCATTATATCATTTTTGTAACCTTATAATACTGGGCTATCTTGGCCAGGTCTCCCTCGAAAAAGAATAGATTTTAATCTCAAGGGACTTCCTGGTTAAATAAAGGTTAAATCAAAAGTAAATACATCTCTAAAACATCCTGCCAACTGGCAAACAAAAGGGAACAGAACAGTGACCTCCATGGCTGACGTAATGAGCAAACACGGACGTTGTGAAAAGGATCATCTGAATAAAGCAGCGTCTTCTATTCTGGTAAATGTTCTAGTGGGAAAAAAAGCTTTTTCATATGATCTCGATTAAATACAGTGACAAAAACCTGAGTCTAAACACACCCAGTAAAACTATTCCTAGATTTGTGAGTTCCCAAAATCTTTGCTACCCTAGAAAAGAGACAAGTTGTGTAGAATGAGAAAACTGACAGAGCGGCAAACAAATCGATATTATGCTACCTATAAATATTCAGTATTTCAGTACCACAAATGTCCTATGACCCAGTTTGCACCCATGAAGTCCCAGGGATGTCATAGACGAGTCAAGTCAATTCATTGATAGAGCACATATATAAAACAAGTGTTTACCAATGTGCTTTACAGAGAAATTATAAATACAGTGCTGCAATTAAATGGGTAAATAACAGCCAAATTAAAGCTTTAAGTGCTGGATCGTAAAAGTATTAAAGTAATATGTCACCCGAGTAGAGAGCAGCCTACAATAATTACGTTTACCAGCTGTGATTGTCAGATTATTATGAATCTGTGCTGGTAGGTTGAGCTCTGAAACCCTGGTTTTGGCACACAAACCGACACATCCACTTATGCCGACATCAACTGATAGCTTGTTAACAAAACTCCACATGTGCCAGCAACATCATTAACAGTACAGACTGAGAAACAAAATATTTCACAAGGAGCCTGCCTATTGTTCCAACAGCCCATTATTCTGAAACCACAGTAGTTCGAAACATGTCCCAATGGACTGAAAGCCCAGTTGATCGACAGCCCATTATCCCGAAAACAAATATCCAATGCCCATTGCACCAAAAACACCAACCCGGTATCCCGCTAAGTGTGTAGGCTAATACACAGCGAAACGTGTAACGTCCGATTAGACTTTCAAGTGAAGGTCGCACTTTGGTTGGGTTTAGGCACCAAAAGTACTTTGTTAGGCTTAGGAAAAGGTCTAAAATTTATCTAAAATTTAAACCACGTATCACACCAAAGTGTCTAATACACATGCTGGTAGGTACTGATGCAATGCAACTGCATAAAGTATACAAAGTCTGATGTTGAAACAAGATAAAACCGTTTCCATTTGAGCAGATGCATCTTCAATCGCCGACTTGAGTAAATCTGGAAGTGGAATTAATGTTCATTTTTGCTGCTTGAATTTCCCCAAAATGAAAAAATATTTTCGCCAAGATTTGGTCCAATGAACTCTTGGCAGTCAGGGTACCTGTGGATGATTGTTTAATGATTTTCCTAACTTCTGACCTTTTGTCTAGTGCCACCATAATTTTTCATGTACAAAACATCACCATATGTGACATATTTGGTGTCTGGAAAACTTTGGCATCTTTGGGATCTATTGAAAACGAAAATCTGAAGGTAAGTAAGTGTAAGTGGAGCTGTCATAGGGCTATTTCCACCTTTAATAATAAATCTTCAAGCTCAAAAATCTAAACCATTGAACAATGTCTGAGCAAAACAACACTAGAGAAATTGTTGGGGTTGAAGACATGAAGCCAACTTGGCATAATTGCTGATTAAGGTGGTTATGTTTTCTTACCTGGTGGCAGATTTCGTGGACAACCACCATGGTCAGCTCCATCTGATAGGATGACGACGACACCTCGGCATCCAACAGGATCTTCTGCTCCACAAAGACACTCAGCCCCCAGTTCTCCATGGCAGCGTACGGATGTTTGGGCACCGCCAACAAGTCTGAAAACCACACAGAACAACACATTATGGCTTTTCAGCACACACTGAATGTGTTCCTCCATTAATAAACTCCAAGTCAGTTTCATCCAGTAAGGTTCCACCATTAAAATAAAAAGCGTCGGTCGCTCTGACAGAATGACTGCTGGCATCAGAGCAGATCCCATTTTGGGTTAAAATTAAACTCATGAGTCATTTTAACAACCTGCCAAAGAATCCTTTTATCCCCACAACATGGATATATGGAGTTTTCAGATATAATTCTACATATATCTGTGTGAGAGAGAGAAAGAAAGAGAGAAGCAGACAGACAGAGCTGAGGACAGACATGGAGAAAGAAGACAAGCAATAGAGTCGAAATGAGGACAGGAGGGAGGAGAGAGAAGATGAAAAGAAGGAGAAGGTGAAGGATTCCTTTGAGCGAAGAAACTTTGAATAACAGGAGCTGAAGAAGGAGTTTACCTTTGGTGGGGAAGATTTATTAGAGCAGCGAGGGAGTAATTAAATGTCAGCAAAAGTAGAGTAACCTCTCTGGACAAATAGGCAAGTAAAAGTGAAAGTCATCCACTGAAAGTTTAAGAAAAAGTTGTGAAGTAAGTGCCATTAGGAGTACTCAAAGCTAAAAAAAGTTATGCTGAATATAAAGAATAAACAACAAAGTCCTACAAGAGTTCTTGGAGTGTTTCTGCAGGTTTTCAACACACACAGAATATCTAAACATACTGTGTTCCAACCAAGACCCATCTTGACGAGACTGAGCCTTTTTTAATGTTAATATATGTACTGAGAGTGTAAAATCATGTTCCCATCATGCTTTGAGTAATGCGGTAATCAGGCGTAGTGTGGCCTGGAGTGAGCGAGTCAGCTGTAAGCTGCACCTGAGCCACAGTTTGGTGTTTTTTTAGATTTCTTTTAAAAATCTACACCATGAAAAGTCATTCTGGTCGTGCTGTTAGCAGTTCCTGTTTCAACTCTTTCTTCTGAAAATTTTGCTAACATACAACAGCAAACACGGTTGGAAAGAAGGCAAATAACGAGGAAAGGTTTCTGTAAAGTCGTAAAATATCCATTAGCAACCTAGATCTAACCACACACACCCCAGAATCAGGCGTGTGATCTGGATTGACTGATTTATTGAACAGAGAAGACAAAACTGGTATGATGCCAAAGCATGTAAGAACACACGGCAGTCCACCATGGCAGTGTTACGTTTTCAACAAGTTCTCATTAAGCGGTCAAAAATTAACACGCAAACTCTCAAAATAAAGCTTGTAGTTTGGTTAGGTCCAGGCAACAAAACTACAACAAAAAGATCCAAAAAGTTAAGTACATTACGTACATAACTTAAAATTAGGGATGCTCGATATTGGCTTTTCTGCCGATATCCGATATTCCGATATTGTCCAACTCTCAATTTCCGATACCGATATCACCCGATACCGATATATGCAGGCTTTTTACACCGTTAGGTAACAACATAACATATCTCCTAATTGGTGGAATTAAACATTAGCTAAATTTTATTGTGATGCCCACTGGATGCATACAAAAATGCAACATTGGCTTTCCAAATGTAAACACTGTCTGTGCAAAATAAGAGAACAACTTCAACTTTCATTGTATTAATACTGAAGGAGCGCTAACGCTAATGATACTAAGCGCTAATCACTAGCTTAAGTAGCTCTGGTTAATGTTTTTGTGTTAATATTAATATTCAGCTTTAAAGTGTTTGCTTGTTGCCAGTTAGCAACCAACCAGTCTAGGTGTAGTTGTTGTTGTTATACGTCATCTAGTGCGGCAACCGGTAAACGTCCATGCTGCGTTCAAGCAGGCTCCGGAAATACTGAACACAGAACAAACATCGGTTATAAAAACCCGATACCGATAATTCCCGATACTACATTTTTTAGTGAATATCGGGCGATAATATCGGAGGGCCGATATTATCGGACATCCCTACTTAAAATACGTCAACCTTGACTTTTGGTTCCACACAGGACTGTTTGATTTGTCTTTATACTTTTCCTTCATACATGTGTGTACTTTTCACATCAAGGTGAGGCAAAATGTGACTATACTACTATACACAGTATCACATTCCAGCATTTTGTTCATTTCTGTGAAGAAAACTACATTATTTTTTTAAGTTGAGATTATTATTTAATATGAACTTTGAAGATCAAACACATTCTATATTCACAGAGCCTTCACTCTCTGATCAACAGCCTTAGAAAGTATGCAGTTAAACAACCAAAAGCTAACAGAACAATGAGATGAAAAAACACACAATTTGTACAGAAAATGAGCATATTAAGAATGTATAGTTGTTAAAAATCATAAAAAATACAAAATACAGACAGAGAATTGTTAAAAAAGTTCCTAAAAATAACAGGATAAGAATAACTCTGATGCAATATTTACAGGAAATAATCTGCTCAAAATTGATCCAAATCGCTTGTTTAACACAAACTTCCTGCAGTTATTGTGTTTCACTATCTGGGTTCAATGTACAGTTTGTCAGTTGTTCTGAGCTGTTATTGTTATGGATTTATATATATATAAAATATGAAACATCCACAGAATACTGTCAGTTTACTTAGAAAAGAAAAGGGGTCCCTTAAGGTAAAAAGTTGGGAACTCTAGTGGATCAAACCCACAAAGAACTATCACAAACTGTGCAGCTCTATGGAACTTTTGAGCGTCTTTTAGTTCTTAGTTTTGGTTTTTCTGCACATTATTTGCCATCAAACAAGCTCTGATAATAAATAGTGAACACAGTGGAGCGTTTAGCAGCTAAAGAACCAGATATTCTACTCAGGAGCCGGTTGAGACCAAACCAGAGCTAAAAACATGGATTATAAAGAGTTAATGTAGAAACCGACCTCTATTAAGGACAAAGGTTGAGTCGGTTAAAGTGAAAAGGGAAAATAAGAAAAAAGAGGAGTGGGAAATGGGTTTCTTTTCAGAGAAGAAACCTGATTAAAAAGGAGGAGAAGAAAAGAGCGGAGGTGAAAAGGTGAAAATGAGCTTTCTCACTTTAACACAAACCCAGATTGTTTCTCAGCAGGAAGAATAGGTGTTTCTCTCCAGTAAATGAGTCAAAAAGAGTTCAGGTCCTCATTTAAATTTAAAAACAGGATCTTTTGGCACTTCAGCTGCAGCAGCGACCTTCGTCAGTGTTACAGGATCACATGTGCACACAAGAGTGTGTTCACTGGGATCTAAACTCGAACAAACCAGCCTCCAGCCAGACTCCTCAGTCAGCTGGAAGATTTTCTTTCACTCCGGCTCAGTTTGATTCAAGCATTCACTCTCTCAACTGAAGAGCAGAAAAGAAACTAAAGAAGAAAGGGAGAGTAAAAAATATATTTTCCTACAAATTAGAGCTGATTGAAGTGAGGAAATATGCAATAATTTGTACATTTTTGGCAATTTATTTTAGATATCTACACTGCTTGCCAGGAAGTTTCATACACATTAATACTCCCCAGACGATGAACCTTTTTGACTTTCATGGCCATGGGACCTTAATTTTTTGTTTAAACTCTACTTTTTTAGCTTTAGAGGCATGATATAAAAGGGAAAAACATCATCGGTTGCTTTTTTATGAGTAAAATAAAAAAGGTTGATTTTTCTCAGTAAATTGTGATATATTAATCTGTTTTTAACTAAATAAAGTGCAAATCCCATCTTTTCTCCCCCCCAAAAAAAACCCCAGGCAACACTTTTCGTCTCAGTTGGTACATTTTGTTTTAGTTTCCCCTCATGGACCACTGTCAGTCTGAAGCTGTCAATCATCTGAGCAAAGAGTGACATCACCACAGTGTGACAGCTGTCAATCATCACAAATCTGTGGTGGTGGTGGATTACTATTGGCAGGTGGTATAGTGAGGTAAAACACATACACACACATAGAAAAACACACTGAGAGAGTAACGATAAATACAAAGCCAATAAAACACACACACACACAGGCTCATGCAAATGTTTACAGACAAACACTTTTATTAAATCCGTTGTTGGAGTGTTTCAAAGCTAGAGACACTCCTGCTGGGAAAACACACACAAACACACACACACACTCTCTATAAGCAGTGTCTGAGCGACTTTTTCTCTCATTTTTTATTCCTTCCATCTTCCCTCTGCAATCATAGTCTGGCAAACATTTCACTGTGTGTGTGTGTGTGTAGTGGTAGGTTGAGGAATGCCTGAGGAAATACATTCAGAAACGTACAGTTTGGATTCACACACTCACAAGCACATTCTGTGTCCTGTCACAGCTAACACTTCCTGTTTGAGGACGCTACAAACTGCCAGTCAAAATTAGCTTGAGGCGCGACGCTACAAACGCGCCACCTGCAAGACCACTTCTTCTGGCCTGTTTCACATAATGATCCACGTTTCTAGGCCACCTCATCTGCAGAGTATCTTCTTTTGACTCGTGTGGACAGAATTAATTCATCCGCATTGTGGAAAACCCTGGGTGATCACCATTCAGTCAGGCGGGGAGAACTCGAACTTGGTTTATTGAAAATGTAATGACTTGCAGTGTAGCGACGGGGCGATCTGAACTTAATCCTACAGCTCAGTTCGGTCCATTACCGACTTAATGCTGCACTTCAAGTGGCTCTTAACATGGTCAAAAACCTGTATTTGATCCAAAACCACTGCTGACTCTGCTGAGGCTCCATGCTGTCCAAAAACTGACCTTTGTTCATGCGCGCTAAACGGTCTTATGGCGTTATCACGACTGAATAAATATATTGTAATGACTTAAAACATTAACAACTAGAAACACAACTGTAGTCCACTCCGAAAAACAAAAACTACTTACTTTACAACAACAAAGGTATATTAAACGAAATGGTATGGCGCCCCACTCTATGACGCATGCCGTGGCTTTTTAGATGCCCATAAAAGTTACAATTATTTCAACTTCTTAGTCGTACCGCTCGTCAGTGTCACACTCAGCCCAGACAGTCAGTCAAATTAAGGAAGAGGCG